AGGCAAAACCAAGGAATGGAATTTACAAGAATTCGGTAGGATTGAGGAACAAAAGCAAGCATTGGTTTCCAAAATCGAGGAGGTGGATGGAATGGAAGTCACTGGTTTGCTGGAGGAAAGTGATAGAAATGAAAAGCGGAGGTTGAGGAAGGAACTGGAGGAGGTACTATTGAAAGAGGAAATCAGGAGACAAAAATCAAAGAGCAAGTGGGTTAAGGAGGGTGATAGGAACACTGGATTCTTGCATGCACTGACAATCGGGAGGAGAAAGAACTTTGTGTCAAAGTTGGAGGTTAATGGTGTGAATATTAGCCAAAAGAATGAGATTGTTCAAGTCTTTGTGGAACATTTTAGATCAATTTTTAGGAAGGTTTTGAATGATAGAATTTGGATTGATGGTTTGGAGTGGCTCAAGCTTCCAGAGGAATCTCAGTGATGGTTGGAAAGAAGATTTGATAGTGAAGAAATAATGGATGCAATCTTCTCTATGGATAGGAGTAAAGCACCTGGTCTTGATAGGTTCACCATGGCTTTTTACCAAGATTGTTGGGAGATATTAAAAGATGACATCTTGAAAGTTTTTGATGAATTTTTTGATAGTGGTGTGATTAATCTGGGGCTAAACTCAACTTTTATTGCCTTGATACTAAAGAAAGTGGAGGCAACGCATCCTAAGGATTTTAGACCAATTAGCTTGGTGCATAGCCTTTAGAAGATCATTGTTAAGGTGCTATCTTGAAGGATTAGAGCTATTCTTCCCACTATAATCTCTCAAAACCAAGGGGCTTTTGTTACGGAGGATATGAAAAGAAATGGGAAGGAAGGGTTTGCTTGTAAGCTGGATCTGGAGAAGGCATATGATTTAGTGGATTGGGGCTTTTTGAGGGATGTTATGGTGGGCTTCTCACCACTGCAGCCATGTATCTTATGCCTACAGGAATTGAAGCTGGAAAGGGTAACGGTGGCAGTGGTGAGATTTGAGAAGCATTTGGGGGCAGAGGGGTTGTGAACTTGCAATTGGGCATTCATGATTCATCAAGGCAGAGAGGACAACAGGTGGAATTCTGGTCATTTGGGATCCTACTGTAGTCAGGTTAAGGGATAAGTTTCTAGCACTTTCAGCTTCTTTGCATCTTTAGTTTGTGCAAGATGATTTCATTTAGGTGCTGATGACTGTTTATGGTCCTAATGATGATGGCGAATGGCTTGTTTTGGGATGAGTTGGATGCAGTCCATTCAAGGTGGGACTTTCCTTGGTGTATTGGGGGAGATTTCAATGCAGTGAGAATCTCTTTATGAAAAAAAGGGGTACAGGTAGAGGAAGGGGGATAAGGAACTTCAACCAGTTTATGAACAGGTAGGGCCTGTTGGATCTTCCTTTGATGGAAGAGAAATTTACTTGGACTAATAATCGGGAAACCTCTGCCTTGGTCAAATTGGACAGGTTTGTGGTTGCTCTAGATTGGGAGGAAAAAATTCCTAATTTAAGTCAAGAGGCATTGCTGAGACTTGTTTCTGATTATGTTCCAGTTTTGCTAGATGGTGGAGGTATCTAGCCCAAGAAGGCACCTTTCTGGTTTTAGCATAGCTGGTTTAAAGTGCAAGGTTTCGTGGATCTGTTGCATGATTGGTGGGTAAGTTGTGAGGTGTCCAGTTCTGCCAGCCACATTTTTGCTAAAAAGCTTGCTTTACTGAAATAAAAGCTGAAATTGTGGAAGAAAGAGATTTATGGGAAGAATGAGACCCTCAAGAGGGAATGTCTATTGACTATTGCAGAGGTTGGTAGAGTGGAGGAACAGGGTCCTGTTGCTGATACAGAGAAGGACTGAAGATTGAAGGCAAAGGGGTTTGAGTTTGACAGCTTGGGTTATCAAGATGAAGTTTATTGGAGACAGAGATATTATTGTTTGTGGCTGAAAGAAGGGGACAACAACACTGAACATTTTCATAAATTGGCAAGTGGAAGATGAAGGGAAAATGCTATTAAAAGACTGGAGATTGGTGGGGAAGTTGTGGAAGGTGTAGAGAGAGTCAAAGAAAACATAATTGATTTTTTTAAGGAACTATTTAAAGAAAAGTGGCCTTGTAGGCCAAAGCTTGATGGGCTGGAGTTTGATAGTTTGTCTTTGGAAGAGAAAGCTTGATGGGCTGGAGTTTGATAGTATGTCTTTGGAAGAGGTGGGAGAGTTGGGATAGCCTTTTGAGGAAGAAGAATTAAGGCAAAGCATTAGCAAAATGGAGGGCGATAACGCCCATGGCTCGGATGGGTTTACGATGACTTTTTACAAGAAATGCTGGGGTTTTTCTCAATGAGGACCTATTGAAGTTGTTCTCTGATTTTCATTTTAATGGTGCTTTAGAGAGGAGTCTAAATTCAACTTTTATTTCTTTAATACCAAAGGAAAAAGGTGCTGCGAATGTGAAGGATTTTCATCTTATTAGCCTGGTGGAAGTGTGTATAAAATTATTGCTACGGTGCTATCTTCCATGATGAAAGAGTAGTCGGATTTTTTATCTCAAAATATCCAAGTGTTTTTGTTGGTGGGAGGCAGATTTTGGATGAAATTTTGGTGGCTTAAGCTTCTGGACTCTTGGATGAGAAGGGGTGAAGGGGGTGTGTTTATTAAAGTGGATTTGGAGTAGGCCTACAATCATGTCAGCTGGTCTTTTCTGGACTATATGTTCAAAAGGATGAATTTTGGGACCAAATGGGGGAACTGGATAAAGGTTTGTATCTCAAATATGAGTTTCTCAATTATTTTTAATGGTTGCTTTCATGGAAGATTTTTTTAGCACAAGAGGGATCAAGCAAGGGGATCCTCTCTCCTCTCCTTTTTATCTGCTTCCTGGAAGCTCTCAGCAAGATGTTCGAGAGTATGGAGGAGCTGAGCTTGATTGAGGGTTTCAGGATGCGTGCTGCAAGGAGCACCCCTCTTTTACAGTTTTTGGATGACACTCTCTTCTGTAAGGCTAATCCGGATAAAGTTTTGAATTTGATTTCATCTTAAAATGGTTTGAGGCTATATCAAGTTTGAAAATCCCCTTTTTTAAGGGGAACTGTTTGCTGTTGGTAAGGGGGTGAATGCTATTTGTTAGCTGATTTTTTTTCGGCTGTAAAGTTGGCAAATTACCAACAGGATACTTGGGCTTCCACTAGGAGAGCAGTGCAGCAAAATCAGATTGGAATCCGGTGATTGAAAGTGTGGAAGACCAAGTACCTATCTAAAGGGGGCAATGTCACTTTGATTAAGAGTGTTTTGAGTTCCTTGCCTATTTATGTCCTCTCTTTATTTCCCATCCCGGCTAGTATAGTAGAGAAATTGGATAAATTGATGAGGGATTTTTTATAGAATGGATGGAAGGACTGAGGGAAAGTTCATTTGATGTGCTGGAAAAATAATTGTCAACCTAAAGAGAGTGGTGGTTTAGGGATAAGGGAGCTTGAAGCTCTTAAACAAGGCTCTTTTAGGGAAGTGACACTGGAGATATAATGAGGAGGTGTACAGTCTGTGGAGGGAAGTTATTCATGACAAATATGGTCAAAGGGGAGATAGCTGGGATCAAGGTGATGTTCTTGCTTACAGGTGTGCACTGTGGAAAGGTATTCAAAGTACCAAATCAGATTTCTTCAAAGGAATGAGATAGAAAATTGGGGATGGTACGAGAGTAAGGTTTTGTTGTGACCTCTGGTATGAAGAAAATAGGCTGAAAGAATTATATATCCTGGGCCTTTTGAATTAGCTGTTAACATGGAAGCTTTGGTGGCAGAGTGGTTGACGTTTCAAGATAGGACTGCAGTGTAGTCTCCTCAGGAGGAACTTAAATGTGCAAGGTCGCCGGTTTTTCAGTTGTCTTTTTATAGTAAGCTGCTGGTAGGTGGGGGAGGGTGGGAAGTTTTCCTTAGAAGGGTGTTTGGTGACAGCTGCTCCAAAGAAGGTTGCTTTTCTTATGTGGATGACCTCTCTTAACAAATGTTTGACTACTACTCAAAAGGGTGTTCTAATTGATAGCATTAATTGCATCTTCTGTAATGAGGGAGTGGAATCTATTGACCACTTAGTTTTGCATTGTTGTTTTACTAGAGGGCTGTGGTCCAATGTTTTAGACATTTTTGGGCTACAGTTTTGTTTTCCAAAATCTGTGCTGGAGCTTTTAACCAGTTGGCAGTTGAAGGACCTGAGTTAAAAAGGGAAAGTAGTTTGGAAAGTGATTCCTCTGGCATTTTTGTGGATTGTGTGGATGAAAAGAAATGGCAGAATTTTTGAAGCTGTGGAGGCCTCGGAAGATATAATTAGTAAAGGATCTATGGGGTAGAATTCTCTCTTGGGTTTCAGTGAGCGGAAGTTTTACAGATATTCCATACAGCTCTTTTTTGAATTCCACTTTGTTATTTTTGTAATGGTTGAGCAATACGTTTTGTACAGGTGGATATAGTGTATTCACGATTTCTTGCTGTGTAGAGTGGGGGGTGTTTTTATCTTTAATACATTACTCTACCTTTTCTCAAGAAAATATAGCCTTGATAGCAATGGGTTTTTTTATCAATTAGGTGCAGTTTGAACAGCCATAAATGAAGGTGAGGCAAATGCAAGACAGCAAGAGGGCTTTGAATTAAGAGGGAATATTCAGATGGTAACCGGGCAATCCAACAATTGGCAGTAGATAGATAGAGTATGCTCCCGCCTTCAGCTAATTCAGAGAGAAGATATGTTGGTTTATGCTCCTTAGCTGACTTATAGAAGAAGGCTGGGTTCAACATAACTCAGCGTTAACCCCAACTACTTGGGCTTGTAGACCTTGGATTCAACATTTTGTAAATTTATTTTAAAAAATTACATCTTACGAACTTTCTATGTTTAGATGATGTATACTCAAGTTTCATTGAAAGGTTTGGTTTAAACTTTACTTGCAAGTTAATTCTCATTGGATGTATTTATAAGTAGATTTTTTATTGGTTATGTGGTCAATTCCACCTGAAACAAATTTTGGTCATCTTGCAGGAAATGAGGAACTTCCTGAAGACTTAATATTGGTATTATCTGTTTTCTTATTAGATCATGCTATTTTATTTTATCTATTAATTCTTAGGTAGCATGCAATGTTGAAATTTGGCAAGCTGAACCCCTGCAATCTTTTGTTCTATTTTGACAGTCACCATCTACATCACACCTCGAGGCATGCCAGTTTGTTATGACAGATCATACAGCACAATTATGTCTCCGAATTGTACAATGGCTAGAAGGACTGGCCTCTGAAGCTCTAGAGTTGGAGAATAGGGTGATCTTTATTTTTCTGTCCTGTTTGAAATATTAAGCATGTTTTCTAGTTTTCTCACTTTTGAGGTTCATTTTTGGTTTCTTTTTTCTTTTTCCTTTTTGATGGTAAAACCAAACACTGCGTTAAAAATTGAAAAAAGTATACTAGTTCTGTTTGGGCAATTTGGCCTGTGCAAATCATGTAGACCAAAACAAAGGCTTCCCAGAAGGAGCAAAGAGTTGCAGCCAAAAAATTGTTGTTCACTACCAACCCCATCTTCATCCTTGAAGAAATATACAGAAAACCACTCAACATGATACTGGCATAATAACACAACCCAAACAAAGCCCTGGTAAGCACCAATTGGAAATGGTAAAATCTATTGAAAATAAGCTCTTTTTCCATGCACTTCAAAATTCCTTAGAAATCAGCACTCCATCATCCCAATACAGCTGCTCTAAGGCCCAACAAACATATTTCTTCTCCCCTTCTGCCCCTTCTCTTTACTCTTGAGCTTCCTTCTTCCCCCCTCTTGATGCAATTTCCCCATGTCAGCCTTCTTTTTCCTTCTTCCCCCCTCTTGAGCTTTCTTTCTTTTTAAAATGGCAACCACCAGGATTTGGCTATGATTCTATCTCCAATCCCCCAAAAGAAAATGACAAAATTATTTGATTTTCTTGTTGTAAATAATGACAAAAAAGAAAGAAAATAAAGAGAACAAATATAGGGGAGATAGTTGTGTCTAATAATGATCTGCCTATAGCGCCAGTGCTTTTGTTCTTGGTCTTTTAATCAATCCACCACCAACTTAGTGTCTCCTTCTACCTGCAAGTTGATGTAGTTCAAAGATTTAGCCATTTTTAGGCCCTGCAATGCTGCCATGAGTTGTGTCCTTATTGAATTTCTGGATCTTATTGGCCCTTAGTATATTGCTAATATGTTTCCATGTCCATTTCTGAAAATTCCCCCAATACTCAAGGGCCCAGGGTTGCCCAAGCTGCATCCATCAAAATTTAGCATAATGCAATTATGTTTAGGTGGGTTCCAAGACAATGACATTCTTATTCTAATAGGTGATGAGGATGACACCAGCTGCCAGCCTCTAAGGATACCATCAACTGAATTGAAGAAGGATGGTAGATATCAATGGTTCGGACCTAATGCACCACATTTTATTGTAGTTTTTTTGGTCTTTCTTTCCCATTGTTTTTCTTTTCATTCCTTTCTTCCCAAGAGACCATATATTGCAGCTCTGTTGCATCTCCCAAATACACTTTCCATATTCAGTGATGGATCCCGCCTACAACCAAAGAAAGAAAAAACATTCCCGAATACTAGTAACAAATGGACAGGGAATTAGTAATGATAAGGAGCTTCACAATTTATTTTACAAAAGAGATAGATATATGGGGAGAAGCACCAAGGCCTTTCTCTTGTGGAGAACATTGCAAGTGTTGATTTTCAAATGACAGACCTCCCAACAGAAGGCCCTAATCTTAGGGGCACTGAGTATGGATTTATTTAGATACGGTACATGAAATAATTATACATGCACAAATTTGCAAATTAAATTGGGGATGCCTAATGGACTGGTCAATTACATATTATGACCATCACAAAATGTGAACAATTCTTTTTTGTGGGTCAGGTTAGTTATTATTATGCATGTACAGGTGCCTTTGCCTTTGTTCTAAAATTGAACTTGGCAAACTATTATGCATATAGTGGGGATAAGGCTTGGCCACTTGGATGATGATGGCAATTTATTATTATTTTTTTCAGGTGAGAGGATGCCATGTTGGTTCTTATCTACCCAATTCAGGGGTTTGGCATCATACTCAAAGGATTTTAAAGAAAGGTAGTGCTGATTCAACCATTGTGCAACACTTGGATTTTGATGCTCCAACACGCGAAATAGCTCATCAACTCCTTGATGACAAGGTATACAAGCACTCTTCCATTCTAGAATCTTTGATAATGTTTAGTTGGATATTCATACTTCAGCACCGCTGTTAAGTGATGATTTTGTTCATTTTGGAACATTATAAATTTGGAACTTTGTGATGCTTATTTTTCAATACAATAACTTTGAAGGAGGAGAGGAAGTGTTATTGTGGTTATGAAAGGTCGCTTGTGATTTGTTTGGAGAAAACTTAGTGGCTTTTTAACATTTTCATAATTTGTATATTTCTGTGTTTGTGTTTTGACCATTTCTTAAACATTGTAGTCAAGATGGTGGGACTTCCTAATTTGTATATTCCTGCTTTGAGTATCTGCTTTGACTAATTTTGAAATGGTGTAGGCAAGATGGTGGGGCATTGATCAGTTGTTTCGGCCTTGCTTGACATAAAGTGTGTACTAGGGCCTATCATCCCTATGCATTTGGTCTTCTCCATTATAAAAAGAGAGGGAACAAAAGTTCTTTATTATTTCCATCCTAGCTAGTTCCATCACCACCCCATATTATATTTGCTATTTACCTTTGACGTGGGGGACTATACACTTCTTAGATGTGCAACGAAACTCATTCATGCATTCATCGCGGTAAAGCTGACACATTGTTCAGACTAGTAATGGTGTTTAGAAGCAGTCTGATAAGGGTGTAAGCAGGGGAGTTTTAAGAAGAAAAATATGAAGGTTTGTGCAGGGACTTCTGGGTGCTGCACATACTGACTATGAAGTTATAAACAAGGCCGAGAAGGCAATCTCATAAACCAAACTATAGTAGGAGGAAGTAAAGGGCTATATTGATGACCCTGAATTACAAAAGGGCATTGAATTTGAAGGTGGGGAAAATGGGAGGCAATCTCATCATCATCATTATCATCATCATCCAAGCCTTGTCCCAACTATGGTCAACTACATGAATCCTGTTTCTCCATTCTGTTCTGTTTAATGCCATATCCATTGTTAAATTATTGGCACTTTCATCATTTCTTATCACTTCTACCCATGTCCTTTTTGGTCAGCTCTTAGTCCCTCTAACCCATTTAACTCACAACAATTTACTTCTTCTTATGAGTGCTGTTGATAGTTATCTGTGCACATGTCCAAACAATCTTAGTGTACATTCTCTCATTTTATCACCTATTGGGGCTACTCCTAGGTTCCTTTGAATGACTTCATTTCTGATCCTATCTTTTCTAGTTTTTCCACTCATCCATTTCAGCATATGCATTTCTGGCAGTCGAACAAGCAGTTCATATGTGTTGCTAAGGCCTTTGCTTCTCTAATAAGTTGCATCAATGGTCACTCATTTCTTGAGGTCATCCACTCTATCAGAACCTGGCAATCTCCTATTATCTAATCAGTCCATCCAAAAAAGAAAATAGTCCTACCTGAAGCATATGCCAGCTTTAATCTGTGCAGAAGAACTAGTGTTTCATCTCAGCTCTGAATGAGTTCCCTTCTCCCACCTGGCCACTCCTATAGCTTAGGAGGATGTTTCTGGTATTTCTGATTACACCACCAATGCCAGATGGGTCTGCATTGCCAAGACTGCAGTCAATGTCTCTGCTCTCTCTTTCTTCCCTCTCCCTCAACCTTCTTGGTAGAGGTGGGAAGCTTCTATTTTCTGTTGTGGCTCTAAAGGACTGGCCATTTTACCATTGTGGGTTAGTTTAGGTCTTATCTGGCTTTTTTATGACTTTTTTGAGAGAAAAGGTAAAGTATTTCATTGAATCAAACTGAATAGATACAGCCTTGCCCAATGAGGCACTGGGCAAGACAAGTGCTTGATCAAGAAATAGATAACGATTTTTGTGTTGAACAGCTTGAACCTTTGCATATTCGACTATACAATACAATGCTGTGGTTTGTATATCCATGCCTTCTATGTAGGATATACTGGTTCTTTTGGAATATCTTCTCAAGTTAAATCTTTATCTACTGTTTTTGTTTGAACAGAAACAAGATGAATCTCTTCTAGAAGATATCTGGACCCTATTAAGAGCAGGCAGACTGGAAGAGGCATGTGAGCTCTGTCGGTCTGCTGGACAGGTTGGTAAAAAATTTCCTCTTAAGGTGTCAGCATGTTGAAATGCTATTATTTTTTCATTTGTATGATTTCATTGACAGAATTTTCCTCTCATGGCAGCCATGGAGGGCAGCAACTATATGCCCATTTGGGGGATTTGATAACTTTCCTTCAATTGAAGCTGTGGTTAAGAGTGGAAAGAATAGAACCTTGCAAGCCATCGAATTGGAAAGTGGCATTGGACACCAATGGCGTCTTTGGAAATGGGCTTCATATTGTGCTTCTGAGGTAGGATTCAAGGGGTGGCTGAGGAGAGCTCTGTTGGCTTGTTGAACTTTCTTAGTGTGTTTGTTGATTTTGATCCATTTACATGACATTTCTTTGCTTCCATGTTTATCCTTTGGTATTCGTATATGCATCTATGTTTCACACTTGCACATGTAGACTGGGGTAAACTTGTTTTATTTAGACATAATAGCCTTGAATCTTATAACAATGTCACTGTGCCTTATGATTGGATGATTCAGCCAATCATAACTGTTTGTGTGATAATAGAAATTTGCAATTGGGCACATAGACTGTTCTCTCATCCATGATAAACTGCAAGTCCTGGAAACTGGCATATTACCAACTTTTGATCTTCCCCCATTTGAAGCAAACCTTTTGTTTTTCTTTCTGATATTCTAGATTAAGAGGTAGAGGTTAGGGGGATGAAAACTTAGCTGCTATTCTATCTCTTTAATGAAATGAATTTATGTTGTTATTAATAAAAAAATAAAAAGTTAGCTGCGAGGAGGGTCTGGTGTCTCCATGGTCTGCCATCTCAGATGCTGCATGTGCTGGAATTGACTGCTCACAGTTCAGCAGTTTTATGGCTTGAGCCTTCTAAAACTATTGACTAAAATTTGAAGAAGAGAAGGAAAAAAACATAAAAAGAGAAAAGTTTAATGCATAAATAAGCTAGGAGATAAATTTAGAAATCCAATTGACTGGTGTATCAAACTGTTAGATTTGGTGTATGGGAACATTGTACCTTAAATTTCTTAAAAGAGGGGGCCAGAACAGAATCACTGTTTACATGAGAGAATCCGGACAGTTTGTAAATGAAAATATGCTTAAAGACCTTCCCCTTCTCAATTCCAGCTTCACCTTGTTAAGCATGTAAGCCAATATGACCTTTAGGAAATAAGACAGATTGCAGAAGTGTCTCTAAAAATTGCTCCTTCTAGACCGGTATCTGATCATTGTCCGAGTCTCCTATCCTTGGATAACGTAAGATGTGACACAACTTTTTCTTATTTTTGATTTGAAAATGTGTTTATTCCATCCTTAAAGGAAGATGTTAGTCACTGGTGGGAGTCGATGAGTGGGGGCAGGTTTAAGGTTCATGAGGAAATTGAAACTGCTCAAAACAAATTTATAACTCTAGAATAACGAAACTTTTGGATATTGGGGGAGAGGAAGACATTGCTGTTGAATCAAGTTCAAGGTTTTTAGCAAGGAGGAACACATTTGAATTGGCAGGAATTGAGGTGATGAAAATGAAGGCACATGTTTTTGAAAAACTTGTGAACTGGGGAAAAATAAGCTGGAAGCACAAATCCAAATGCCATTGGATTAAAGTACATGGAAATTTTAAGTATCCATAGTTTTAGCTAATCGGAAGAAAGGGATAAGCTAATAATGGGAGAAGCATCACCAATCAAAAGGAAAAAAAAAGGGAGAAGCAGCTAAATGAGGAGAGATCGGAAACATTGAGAATCATTTCATATCCTTTTATGTTCTCCTGCCATCCTTCCATCCTACTGTTGAAGGTATCCAATGGGATTGGATTTAAAAAGAGATTGGAAATTGAATTGAATTAGAGAACTTGGCTGTTGATAGAACACAATGCATAGTTGTCAAGTTGCCTTGCTTAATCACCAATATATTTCTTACATGGTGCTCATGAATACTTTTAAATTCTTAACTTTTTGAGATTATAATAAATAAAATAGACATTATTAAACTCAACTTTTCAATTTAAGTTAAACTACTATTTCTTTTTAATTTTTTCCTCATTTGTTAGGGTTTAATCAACATGTACAAGAATGGAAGAACTCAAAATTTTATCCAATCAACACATATTGGTTACTTTCATTATCATCATCATCATCTTCTTCTATTTCTTCATTCACCCTTTCAATTCTTTTCTTCTTTTCCTAGGACAAAAATAGAGGCTCAACCCCTCTATTTCCTGAAATTTCTTTTCTTTGTTTCCTGAATTCCTCTATGTCTTTGCCCTATCGCGATATAAATATAAACCTATGTGCTCTTTCCTAGGTCCTTAAAGCTCAAGAACTGGCTTCATATCCTTGATGGGGTATACTTGGAATCCTCAAAAGCTGACAGTTGTATTTGGACTCTTTCCTCTTCTGGTTCCTTTTCCTGTGCTTTTTTGAAGGCCCTTGTTCAACCTGTCTATTCTTTGGGAATTCCATTTTCGGTGGATGAGGTCTGAGGTAATCCTATCCCTCCAAGAGTTGGGGGCCTTTGTTGGGAAGTCTTCTTGGAAAAAATTAATACTTGAGATTTACTCCAAAGGAAAAAGAAGAAATTAGTGCTTATCTCCACACTAGTGTGTTATGTGTATGGATAATGGAGAAACTTTCATTTGTTAATCTCTTGCTTTTTTGTTACTTTTATTTGGGAATGTTTTTTCTCATCGTTTGGGTGTAGGTGGTCTCCCCCAACCAATGTGCAAAGTTTGTTTGATTCCTCCTTCTTGAGGTGGCCAAAGAAAAAGGGGACGGGTTTTATGGAGATGTGTGAGGGTGTCTGTAGGCTGGACTATATGGGAAGAAAGAAATGAAGACCGTTTTCATACAAGGAAAGAAGTAGAGAAGTTATCATAGAAACCATTATGGTGAGAGTGGTTCATTGGGTAAAATCTATGGATATGTTTGCTCACTGCTCAACAGGTGATATCTTGAACAAATGGAAGGAAGTGGCCAGTTCTGATTGTCATAGATCTAATATAAGTAGTGGAGTGGCTGCAAAAGGAAGAAAATGTCTTCTGGATTTTCAACAATGAGAGAAAGGGATTTAAGTGGTTGACTAAAGATATGGATGTGCAATTTGGCTGGGTTAAAAGGACTGCAAATGCTTATGTTGATACTTTAGCAAAACAAGGAGTGGGAAGGAATCAATTGTTTTGGGATCAATTGTAATTGCATATTTGTTGTGGAGAGGTAAGACAGTTTACCTCTCCCAATCCTGTAATTATTTTTTTTTTATAAATTTAATGAAATTCTGTTATTGATAAAAAATGAAACTTACATTTTTTATGAAGATTATAAACAATTAATAGTAAAATTTATGCTTTTCTGAGAAAACTATTCAGTTTTAATTAAAATACTAGTTTCTTTTTATTATTTTTCTTATTGTTAGGGTTCAATCAACATGTATAGTGTCTTGAACCCTTGAAGACTTCAAAACCTGAACCGATAAGCTTAGAATAACTCAAAATGTCGTCCACTCACGTATTGGTTATTTTGTTCTTGTTCTTCTTCCTTTTACATCCTTTCTTTTCTTTTCTTCTTTTCCTAGGAGAAAAATAGAGGCTCGACCCAGTCCTCTATTTTATGAAATTTCTTTCTTTCCATTTTTTTCATGAATATGTTGATTTTGTATGTTTTGAATGAAGTTTATACATTTTTTTTGTGAAGATTACAAAACAATTTAAAGTGAATGATAGTTGCTGCTTGCCAATGAACCTAAGGAATTGTCCTAGGATTTGTGGTTTTTATTAAAAAAAAAGCCATTGCCTAGCTGACTCGGCATGACACACCTCTCATTGCCTTGCATCACCTAGATGCCTTGAAAAGTTTGCCTCTAGGGTCCTCTCACTTACTTTGACAATCAACAAATACAAAGAGTCAAAGATAGCTTAGCATGTGGAGCAACAAGTTCGAATGGTCACAATACTTTCTTATGACCCTCCAACAAAATATGACATGCTGTCAACCAAATGTAAAATCAAATCACCCAACGAGTGCTTGCCTGGGTGATTTGGTTTTGATGTGTTCACATGATTTTTTTTTTTATTGGAAACGGTGACTTAAATTAAAATTAGTAATTCATCATCATACATTATCAACCACTCAGAAAAAGAGTGTTGACCCCAATCAAACTAGAAAGTTACAATGCAGCCCAGAAAAAGTTCTCCCTGAAGGCCCCCTGTTTTGCCAAACCATCAGCCACAGAGTTGGCTGATCTCCTTACCCATTTGTAGATTGCCCCAGCCTCCCTTGCTAAGCACAATATTTCCCTTATCTGTTGTCTGAAAGTCCGTACACAGATTTTTTGTCTGCAGCCATCCTATCAATAGTTTAGAATCTCCCTCCACCTCAAAGTTCTGAAATCCCCATTGCTTAGCCAATCTCAATCCCTGTAGTAGAGCCATAATTTCAGCTCTCAGAGAGTCTCCCACACCTATGGGACCAGAATGCAGTGCCATTAGTCTGCCCTCTGCCCCCCCCAAATCCCTGAAGACTCCCCCAACTCCAGAGGGTCCTAGATTACCCAAGGAGCTTCCATCAAAGTTTAATTTTACCCTTTGATGTGTTCACACAATCACAACACTTGTGACTCTCTAATAAAACACAGACATGCCATTAATCAAACGAAAAACCAAACTATCCAGTGAGTGCATGCTTTAGTTTCTATCCCAAATGACTCATTAACAACCCACTAAAATATGAAAAAATAGAGATTGCCTCTAGGGTTTACTACCTTACTATGACTATTTAGAAATACCAGGATAGCCTAACATGTTGACTGCTGAGTTCACATGACCATAACACTTTCATGCAACCCTTCAATGAAACACAAGCATGCTATCAATCAAATTAAAAAGTGGACTAACAAACATGAAAGAACACTATACTTTTTTCCAATCAACACATTTTTTTTTTCTTTTCTTCTTTTTGTAGGGAAAAAATAGAGGCTCAATCCCTCTTTTTTCTGAAATTTATTTTCTCTCTTCCATTTTGTTTTTCATGAACATGTTGATTTTCTTTGTTTTAGATGAAATTTATACACATTCTTTGAAGATTATAGACAATTAGTAGTGAAAGATGGTTGTTGCTTGCTATGGAACCTAGGGAATTTCTCTAGGATTTTTGGTTTTTATTCAAAAAATCCCATTGCCTAGGTGACAAGGTGCTCCATTTTCGCATTGCCTTGCCTCACCTCAGCACCTTGAAAACTGTGGCATTATGGTGGGCCATGATTCATGTACCCAAACCTCTTGGCACTAGCTTTGTTATGAGTCCTTACAACATTAGAGGCCCCTAGTGTCATTCAAAAATAAAGGTGCACTGCTGCTACCCATTTTTCTAGTATATGTGTCATATACAACTTCAGTTTGTTCTTCTTTTACTGTTATACCCATTCTAGCCGTAGGACAACTACAGTTCCGTAGTTTCTCCTCACTGGATTATTGAACCGTGGTAATGGAAGAGATCATATTGACTTTATCTCTTGGTCTTCAATCCTAAGTATATGCTGATGTTGACTCCTATTATTGTTAAATTCGCATTGCATATATTCTGTTTTAGTCCTTATTTTAAAACCTCTTGTTTCTAAGGTATTTGTCCATAAATCTAATTTGTTTAATGGAACCTAGGAGTAACTCCCATAGGTGATTAAATTAGAGAAGGTAGGCTGAGATGGTTGAGTCACATGCAGAAAAGACCATCTAGAGCATCCAAAAGAATGGAACTTCAGAGACACATTTTCTTCTGTGCAAAATATCTAACTTTACTTTGATATCTTCAAATTGATATTTAGGATATTTGTTACATTAAGTCTTGTCGAAGATATACATAATCATCACCTGATGACATTAGTTGGAAATGATCCATGTTGTTTCTTCCTTTATTTATGACAGTTTCAATTCTTAATTATATAATGTGTAAACTGGCCACATCAAGTGTTATCTTGTTGAAGGTAATCATTTTCTTTAATATCAAAATGATAAGAAAAATATGGTTGATGATTGTTTTACATAAATGAGCACCATAAAGCCCTTAAATCAGGACAGGCTGTGATTTAAATGGCTCATGCTAACATTCCTTAAGAAGTTACTCCCTCAAGATGCAATCCCACTGCTTTCTGTACTTCCACATGCAAAACATGTGGTTTCTACTACTATCATGTATATGAACAAAAAGACAAAAGAAAGTTATCTTTTTTTTTTTTTTTTTTTTCTGTTTTAGGTTGATAAGGTTATATCTTTTGCTCCATGCTGTATTGGTTGTGAGTGAACAGTTAAATGTTACTTTCTCAAGCTAACAGGATCATTTGTTTTTCATTTTGAAGAAAATTGCAGAACAAGATGGTGGGAAATATGAGACTGCTGTATTTGCATCTCAGTGTAGCAACTTAAAGCGAATGCTTCCTCTTTGTACAGATTGGGAGGTAATTCCTTCTCTTAGTCTATTTAAGGCCTTCATAATGCCTATCTGAATGCATAATTTTTTTCATACATGTTTATTATTTTCGGTCCTTTTTAATTTATCAATAGATTACTCAGTACTGATAAAAACTGTCAATTGTTTCTTTATATCTTTTACAAAAGTTACCTTATATAACCTATATGTTTGTAATCATTCCATGACCTCACCTACTATCTGCAAGTAATTTAGCTAATGTACTTTTTTCCCTCATTCTTCCTAAGCTGTCTCTTTGATTCCTAAAGCTGCTTCTCTACAATGCAAGGCCACATTTTGAGGGCGAGTAATGTATTGGTGGTTTTTATTGGGGACATGGTACCATCTAGCTCTCGTCAGAACTTGTTCTGGTCCCCCTAATACCAGCTCATTTTGATTAGTTCCTTCTTTAGCTACAGTATAGACATTAATTTGCGATCCTTCATACATTATAAGAATGCACGGTTCAGATCACCTGACAAATTTTTTAGGTTCTCTAATCCAGGATCTAAGTAGCCACAAAATTTTCACTCTAGCTGTACACCAGCATAACACAACTTGGTAATTGCCTTCTAGAACTAGTACAATACTGCCTATCGAATATGCTGATATTTGGTTTAAGTTTCTTTATATCTTTTCTTTTGTTTCTATATGCCATTGCTTTCTTTGCAGCATATTATTCTTCTCTACTTAGTTTTTATTACACACTAATAATTGTCCAGGTGGCTGTACTTGTATGAAAGTACTGCATACATATAATCATTTTCATGTGGTTTGTTACCAGATAGAGAGAGTGAGGTACTTCTGTAGGCATTACAGTGGTGTGGTAGTACTTTTGATCCTTAAAGAGAATTAACAAGTTGTTGCATATCTGAGATGCTATAGCTTCCATCACAATGTCCATTTGTTTGCACCTTGATCAATAATAAACTTTCATTCTGGTTGTTTTTTATCAGCAACTTTCTGATTGTTTTTATTCTTTACTTGTTTTCTTTTATGACATTTTTATTTTTCTCACTGCAGTCTGCTTGTTGGGCAATGGCCAAGTCATGGCTTGATGTTCAGGTGGATTTAGAATTAGCTCGTTTTCAGCCAGGAGGACATGAGCAGTTAAAGAGTAACGGAGGTGCAATAGAAACAAGTCCTGGTCATGGAGACCAAACTTTTCATACTCCTGGTCCAGAAAGTTGGCCATGTCATGTTCTCAGCCAACAGCCTCGGGATCTCTCTTCTCTTCTTCAGAAGCTCCATTCAGGGTATGGGAGCAAAACAGATTCTGCTCCATATTTTCTTGCATTGAAGTGGCATTTTTTTTTGATATCTAATCATCTGATCTACTTGTCCTTGGCTTAGGGACATGGTTCATGAAGCAGTTTCTCGAGGATGCAAAGAGCAGCATCGGCAAATTGAGGCAAGAATCTAACTCAAGTGACATTTTTGATAACTAGCAATTAGTTTTTGTACTTCTTATTTATTTCAGATTTTAATTTCATTTGTTGAGAAGTTTCTGCACTCTTGTGGAACAGTGTTGTCCATTTGCATCCACATTGGTCTTCGTAAGTATATTTGCGGGTTACTGAGAAGCTACATTTCCACACCCTTGGTGCCTGGATGAAAGACAAAATAAGAAAAGTGTGATCTGATGTGACTATCATATGGTTACATTGTAAAAATTATAGACACATTGGAAATATTGTAAAATATGGAAAAATATAGAATGATGTTTTATGAAACAATAAAAGAAACATAGACACGCCTTTTTAAATTATTATCTTGTTCCAAATCACTAAACGAAGCTAAGAAACTATGGATATAGACAAAGTAATATGTTTCTTTTGGTAAATAATAGACAAAGACAAAGTAATATGTTGTGAAGTTATCTTGTTCCAAATCATTATACAAAGCTAAGAAACTATGGTTAAACTCGTAGAAAATGCAAATGATTCTAGATCAGCAAAATAATCTATTACAGGAACAAAAACTAATATTTAACTAAATGTTTGAAATGAACATCGAGCTGGCTCAATGTGGTCATAATAAACATTTGGTGGGCAATAACATAGCTACTCCACATATCTATAATATTGTCACCAACTTATGTTATAATACTATCTTTTGTACTCCACATGGTGCTGGTAGTGTTCACTAAGGAATATGCCAAATCCAGAAAATTTTGTGTCACTATCCTAGGGAATGGAAATACGTCGTGGAAATATTAGGGAATTTATGGGCATTTTAAACAATGCCTTGAATTGTACTTTGTAGGAGAGTATTTTTTTCCCACTGTGGTATTAAGGTCGGTATGAAAGGTTGTGGTTACACACACTAAGATGGTGGAGAATGGGTAGGGAGGAGGTTGTGGTTACATACTTGCAGTTTGCGGATGATATAATTTTATTTTTGTGATGGCTACAACTCTGATTCTCTTTTAACCTAAAAGCATTGATAAGAAATTTGAGGATAGCTTTAATCCTAGGGTAAATTGGGGAAAGAGTTGTATTGCAGGTGTAAATGTGCATGAGGAGGTTATTTGTGGGTTAGCTGAGGTGCTAGGTTGTGAAGTTAAAAACTGGCCTATAAAGTACTTAGGTCTTCCGTTGGGTGGGAATCCAAGGACTGAGGGGCTTCGGAAACTAGTAACGGAGACTTATAAAAAAACTAGCCTCTTGGAAAAGGAATTATATCTCTATGGGAGGAAGGATAACTTTGATCAGTGCCTCTCTAGCAAATCTCCCGGTTTATTTCCTCTCTAATTTTCATATCCTTGTTAAGATCACTAGACAATTAGAGAAGATCATTAGAGATATTTTATGGGAACCAAGGGTTGAAAAGAAGGATCACTTGGTTAATTGGGAACAAGTTAGTAGGCCAAAGGAGGAGCTTGTACAAAATCATTGCAAAGGTGCTGCCTCTTAGGATAAAAATGGTGCTTCCCTCTATTATTGCACCCAACCAAGGTGCTTTTGTGGAGGGAAGACAGATCACCGATCAGATTCTCATTGCAAATGAGAACTTGGAGAGCTTTAGGAAGTCAAAGAAGAAGGGAGTGGTTTGCAAATTGGATTTGGAGAAGGCTTATGACTTTGTTGATTGGTCTTTCTTGGTGGAGGTTTTGAGGAGTTTTGGTTTTGGAGACAAGTGGATTTGGGGTTGTGTCAGGACTTGTCGTTATTCTTTCATGGTGAATGGAACTATGGTTGATTTCTTCTCTGCGCTGAGAGGTCTAAGACAAGGAGATCCTCTTTCCCCTTTTCTTTTCACCCTGATTGCTGATGTGCTTGGGAGATTGGTCCTTAGAGAGCAGACTCGAGGAATCTGATAAGAGGGTGGAGAGTAGGAAGGGAGGAGGCTCCTTTAACACATCTACAGTTTGCAGATGACACTATCCTGTTCTGTGAAGGAGGGAACTTTAATTGGATCCGAAATCTAAAGTTGACAATACAACTCTTTGAGCAGATATCTAACCTCAAGGTGAACTTTGATAAGAGTTGTGTGGCGGGAGTGAATGTGGATGAGAGGGAGTGGAGAGGGTTGAGAAGAGGCTGGCTGCATGGAAGAAAAATTATCTTTCTTTAGGTGGGAGAGTCACTCTCATTAGGTCTACCCTAGCTAACCTACCTGTCAGTGTTTAAGATCCCTTCAAAGGTTTCCAATCTTTTGGAAAAATTAATAAGGAATTTTCTGTGGGAGCCTAGAAAGGAGAAGAGAGATCATAGGGTGAGTTGGGAGGTGGTCACTAGGTTTAAAGAACTAGGAGGCAATGTTTTAAAATGCGGAGGCGTGACGCGAGGTGTTCCACTACTTAGAGGCGTGAGGCGTAATTCAGACCGCAAGAGGCATAAGCCTTCTTAAGAGGAGGGGGGTAAGGAGGAGGATGAAGAGGAAGGGGGGATCTCATTTTTTCTTTATCTTTAATAAAAATCTTTTATATTAAGAAGAAAAGAGATGCATAACATTAGTTCAAAGGGGGGGTCTTGTCGAAGTGAAGGCCGAAGGGGCAGGGGGCAAACCATTTTCTTTCCCCTTACCTTTTCTTCCCTTCCCTTTCCTTTTCTTTTCTTTCCTTTTCTCTTTTTTTCTTCTCTTTCCTTTCCTTTTCTTTCCCTTTCTTTTCTTTTCTTTTCTTTTCCTTTCCTTTCCTTTCCTTTCCTTTTCTTTCCCTTTCTTTTCCTTTCATTTCCTTTCCTTTCCTTTCCTTTCCTTTTTTTCTTTTTTCTTTTTTTTTTCTTGTATTTTCATATCAGGTGTGCACGAGGTGCAAGAGGCGTACGCCTCTAGCACGCCTCATGAAAAAAGCGCAAGAGGCATACGCCTCAACGGTATTAGTGCCTCTGGCATACGCCTTAGGACGTTTTGGGAGCTCCTCGCTTGGAGGCACACCTCCAGGCATACGCTTCCCACGCGTTTTAAAACACTACTAGGAGGTCTTGGGATTGGTAACTTCAAGAAAAGGAATATGGCCCTGTTGGGGAAATGGTTGTGGAGGTTTTCATTGGAAAGGGATAAATTGTGGACTGAGATTGTGGCTAGCATACATGGGCTGGAAGACAATGGCTGGGATCCTGGAATCTTGGCAAGGGCCTCAGCTGCTTCTCCTTGGAAATCCATTCACAATCTGCTTCCAGTTTTCTCCCCTTGGATCAGGTATGGTCTAAACTCTGGTAACTGAATAAAATTCTGGGAACATCATTGGGTCGGGGATTCTCCTCTGAAGGACCAGTTTCCTTCGTTGTATGCTCTATCAGATTTGAAAAACTAACCCATATCTTCCTTCTTTCTTGGTTCCTTCAGACTCCACTTCTGGCTTTGGGTGGAACCTAGGCCTGCGTAGGGCAATTAGGGATACAAACATGGACAAATTTGTAACTTTGCTAGCCTCCCTTGAGAATGTCTTCATAAATCTTACTAAGGAAGACACCGGATTATGGACCCCTTCTAGCTCTAGTACTTTCTCTTGTGCTTCATTCTTTGAAACCTTAACTCAACCTCCTGTCCCTGTTGGGTTGTCCTTTCCGGTTAAAGAAATTTGGAGCAGGCCTATTCCTCCTCGGGTTGGCTTTTTTTGTTGGGAAATTTTCCTGGAAAGAATCAACACTTTTGACTTACTTCAGAGAAAGAGACCCAACTATTGTCTACTTCCTAATAGATGTGCTCTTTGAAAAGCTGATGGGGAATCCAACTACCACCTCATGGTCTCTTGTAAGGCTGCTAAAACTGTATGGGAGTGGGTTTTCTCCCGCTTTGGGTGTTCTTGGAATCCTCCGGAGAGTGTCCAAGGTTTGTTCTCTCCTTTTTTCAGTTGGCCTAAGTAGCGAGGGAAAACTATGTGGAGGAGTATTAGGCAGCGGTATGCTGGTCATTGTGGGAAGAAAGAAACTCACGTATTTTTTCAGAGAAGGAAAGAACCTTGGAAGAACTGTTAGACCTAATCTTTTTAAGGGTTGTCCACTGGCTAAAATCTTTGGAGTTGTTTGCAGACTTTTCTGTGGATGACATGCTAAGAAATTGGAAAGAGATTGCTTCCTCTGCTAGAGGCAAGAGGACTCTTTGTCCATCTTGGTCCCTTCCCCCTTCGGGATTTATTAAGCTGAATTTTGATGGCAGCAGTGTAAAGAATCCAGGGACCTTTGGGATTGGAGGAGTTTTCAGGAATTAGGAAGGGATTGTTATTGCTTTATTCTCTGGCTCTGTTGGAGAAGGTGACTCTCTTAGGGCTGAGATCCTTGCAGCGCTTGAAGGAATTCGAAGAGTAAAGGAATTAAATATCAGCAGTTTGATCCTGGAAGGTGATTTGAAGGTGGTGGTTAGCTGGCTGTAGAAAGAGGACAGTGGTTTGTGGAACTTTAACAATGAAAAGAAACAGTTCTTATGGCTGTGTAGGGACATTGAGATTCAGTACAGCTGGGTAAAGAGGAATGCCAACTCATTTGCGGATGGGCTGGCCAAGCAAGGAGTGAATAGGGAGTCTGTATTTTGGGCTAGTTTTTAATTTTCTCTCTTTGTATTCTCATTGTATTCTGTTATTGGGGAGCTAAGATATTTTATCTCCCCCTCTTGTATCCATTTTCCCTCTTTTCTTTTAATTTAATGAAGCTGATGTTATCGATCAAGAAAAAAAATCAGACTGTGGCTGGGATGCAAAGGTAGCCTCTGATGCAACTTCAACCTCTCCTTAGAAAGCAATTTATGAGGTATATTCCATCTTCCTCAATCTTATTCGGTATGATGTGGGTAACGGACTAAAAGTCTTGTTTTGGGAGGATGTTTGGTTGGGGGACAGTCCTCTTAAAATCCAATTTCCTTTGCTCTATGCACTCTCCACTTACAAACTTGAACCTAATATTAAAATTTGTGATTTTCTTTGAATCGGGTTTAAGTTGGGACTTTGGTTTTAGAGGAAGGCTTAGGGATTCAGAACGTGATTCTCTTATGCTTTTATTGGCTAGACTTGAGTCAGTTTATTTGGATCAAAATTTGGAGGACAAAAGGGTGTGGTCAATTTCCTTGGATGGGTATTTCACTTGTGCCTCTTTTTTCAATTTCTTTACAGAACCTAGTGCATTGGGGGTGAACTTACCGGTGAAAGAAATTTGGAGCAAGCCTATCCCTACTAAAATTCAGTCCCTTTGTTGGGAGATCTTTCTTGGAAAGATCAACACTTGTGATGTGCTGCAGAAAAGAAAGCCAAATAGAAGCCTATCCCCTCACATGTGTTCTCTTTGCTTGAATAGTGGTGAAACGATTTCCCATATCTTTACTTTCTGTTCCTTTGTGCATTATATTTGAGAGCAGCTTCGTTTTCTATTTGGGTGCAGATGGACTCCTCCTTAAGATGCGATGGGCCTTTTTGATCCTCATTTCTTGAGACAACCAACAAAAAGAGGAAGACTACTTTGAAAAGCATTCAGAGCAGCTATGGTTTGGACAATTTGGAAAGAAAGAAATGGGAGAATCTTCAATGATAAGAGTAGGACTCAGGCAGAAATCGTTGATTAGTCATTGGATGACTTTAAAGTCTTTTCACTGAATGATATTTTGAGAACCTGGAAAGAGGTGGCACTATCGGCTATAGACAAGGCAAGGACAGTAGGGAATTGGCTGGGGTACGGGGTGTCTTCAAAGATATAGAAGGTAGAGTGGTGGCCTTATATGCATTGACAGCTGATCTGTTTAGTCTACTGCAGGGGTTAAGGCTTGCCAAACAACTAGGCTTCCACAATCTGGAGGTGGAAGGGGATTCCCATGTAGTCATCTCATGGACCAAGAACAACTCCCAGATTCCTTGGGTATTCCTATATAAATTCAGGTAGATTGTAAGCCTAACAAGGGAGCTAAATGTTGCCTTTCAGTGGGTAATAAGAACAGCAAATGGAATGTCAGATTCTTTGGCCAAACAAGGGGCTGTGAGACAGCAAATGTTTTAGGCAAATCTGTAATCTTTTGCCGTTTTGGGGTGGAATTTACACTCGAGCTCTTGTAACTCCTAAATTCTTTCTGTTGATAAAAAAAAAGGAAAGGTGGGTATGAAAGTTTGAAAATTGGTTCAGGAAAAAAATAAAACATAATAAAAATCTGAAAAGGTAAGACTGTATTTAGTGTTTATAGATGAGAGTACTATATATATACTCTTATTTGTTTGTGCTTGTTATCTATATGATATGATTAAACATATTTAAGAGGAGCTCCTATTGTGCCTAATGCTTGCTGATAACAGTTGCAATAGAAATAAAAGGTTTTAAAATAAGGACTAAAACAAAATGTATGCACCGGATGTTACCCCCTAGAATTAGAGCAGGATGGGCCAAATTGAAAGGTGCATCTGGAATCTCATGTGATTGGCAAATACCACTTTGGCTAAAAGGAAAATTCTATAAACATTTGTAAGGCCAGCTATGTTGTATGGAACAGTGTTTTTGACTATTAAGAAACAGCATGTACAAAAAATGAGTGTGGCAGAAATACAAAAGCTTGTGCTAATAAAAAAACACAAATGCTTGGATGGATGAGTGCTAAAACTAGAAAGGACAGTGTTAGAAATGAAGCTATACAGAGGAACCTAGGAGTAGCTCCAATAGGTCATAAAATGAGAGGAAGTATATTGTGTTGGTTTGGTCACATGCATAGAAGACTGTCTACAAAACCTGTTGGAAAAAGTGATCTGTTACAAGTTGAAAGGGATAGAAGAGGTTGTGGCCGACCAAAAAGGACTTGGGTGGAAGTAATAAGAAATGATTTTGGTTCTCATAATTTAGCAATGGACATGTAACTGACAGAATGGAATGGTGAGATTGGATTGATGTAGCCAACCCCATATAGATGGGAAAGGCTTAGATTATCTTGATTGGAAGAGAAAGTAATACTTTTACTGTCAAGGGCACTTTGGTAAAATATTTACTTTATTCTTAATTTTGTCTCATCTATTTAGTTTTGTGGTCATAAGGGTATGAGTTATTCGCTAAGCCTAATGAGTGGTTTAAGCATTTGAGTTGACCAACACCCCAGGGAAGTATAAATAATTTACCCTATTGTTATGAATCTTTGAGGTAATCTTATTTTATTGTGTTTCCCTTGTTATTCACTAATGATTTCTACATCATTAATAACGTTTTCATGGCATCTACCAAGAAGACTTGGAGGGTGAAGGTGTCTTGGCAGAAAAGGAAATTAAGAAGATCATCACATATATTGGAATTGGAGCTGATTAGGAGGGTAGAAATTAGTTGAAGAGAAAAAAGCTAAGTTTAAATGGATTACAGGAGATGAAAACACCAAGTTTTTTCACCATCTAGATAATGGGAGGAGAAGACAGAATACAATTAGGATGTAAATTCAGAATAGAAATCAGATTATATGCTTTATGACATAGACGATATTTTCATTTCTCATTTTCATGAGTTTTTTATTTTTATTTTTTGGATCAACAATAAAGAAGAAGATTTCATCCATTAAGTAGGAACTATAGGTTCAACAAGAGGTTGTGGTTACAGATATATGAGCATATTCACTTCAATCTCAGCATCTCACCCCTCACTCTTTTTACATTTGAGCCCCCAAAAACTTGTTTTATAACCTGTGTTTAGCCAACCCATCATCCAAACTGTTGGCTAACCTTTGAACTGTCTAAATTCATTTCTGAATTTCCACATCACTCTCTTGTCCTTCATTATCCAACTTATTACCACCTTCGAATTACCTTCAATTAATCAATCTTTCAACCTCATTTCCCTGGCTTTGCACACCCCAAATAATTCTGCCTACATTTTTGTCCTTACTGAATCTCCATAACCTATTGGAATAGAGTACATTGCATGTATGGTTCCATTCTCATCCCTTACTACTCCCCCAATTCTAGATGGCCCAGGTTACCCATGTTGTTCCCTCAAAGTTCAGCTTCAGTCCCCTTTTCTGGAGGTGTCCAATCCTTTTTATACTTTTGGTTTTTTTGACGAAGAAGTTGCCACCATCCCCCTAATTCTTGATAATATCATCCATTGTAAAATTTGATAGTTCCATTGTTTTCACCCAATATGCTACTTTTAGAGTGTTTTAATTATTGCCTCCCTACTTCTCTCTCTTTCTCAAAAGTTCTTGCTATCCTTTCTTCCCAAAAGTGTCCAAAACACCACTACCCTTGTACATTTCCACATAACTTTGCCTCTTCTCTTTGGACTTGTGAACACAGATGCATCAAACAATCTATCCAGACTACCAAGGGAACAAGGAGAATATACCATTTGCAAAGACAGAAAATGAAAAACATAGGAGATTAGTAGGTGGTATGCAGTTTCACAATTCAATTTTCACTAGAGGGCATGCCATTCTTGACATGATTGAGGAACAAGGAGAATATACCATGAATGGCTTTCTAAGGTTAAGTGAGAGTGGCTTTTTTGAAAAAAAAAACCAACATTGCTACCATTCTCTAAGAGTGCATGAATGCTAGCCACAATCTTGTGCCATAGTTTTTCATTCTCCACCAGAAACCTCCACAACCATTTCCCCTAGGGAGATACATTCTTCTTGCTTACATTACCTATCTCTGATGACTGGAGATAGGAGTCCAATCCAGCATCCTCCTTCTTTCTACTCACTTTTTCAAATTTGACCAAATGGTATTTCTTCCCTTCGTCAAGTTCCCAAAGAACGTCCCTGAATACGGACAAATAATATGTAGGTAGATTTGCTAAAGTAGACTCAATGAATGTCAACCTCCCCCAAGGGAAATGTAATTCCTGTTCCAAACTGCCAGTCTCCTCTCTACCTTCTCTACTACCCAAAAGCTAGTGGATTTAGATTTGACACCAAAAGATAATCCTAAATACTTCATTGACCAGTCATCCTCTCTACCTTCTCTGCTGTCATGCTCTTATTCCAATTCCTTGTGTTGTTTATGCACTCTAGTTGAAGAAGACCTAGATGTATGCAATTTGGTGGGCTAAAATTCAGCATTCACCAAAATCTGATTGGGCTGTATCACTCCAATTTGCTGATGATGTCATTAATTTGGGGAAAGGTGATTTTGGAGGTGGTGGGCTTTTGCTAATGATGTGGGCTTTTGCTGTTGGGATGTGATTCTCTTTATACTAGTATCTCAGATCTCTATTAAAAGAGTTTTAAACTTTGTACTCTTTTTGATCATTTGATAAGTATATGTTGATCTGTTGTTGATAAAAAAATCACACAGTCATATTTGGTGATTTTTCCATCAGTTTTGTTGTTAGTCATGGTTCAATTTCTTGCTAGATCACTTACCTAATGATTCTGAACAGATGAACCTTATGGTGGGTGATATACCACATCTCCTGGAACTTCTGTGGTCATGGATATCACCTTCAGAAGATGATCAAAATGTCTTCAGGTAGTGAGAGTAATATCCCTATCTAGGGGCTTGAAACTTTTTCTCTTTTTCCTTTTTTTTGTACAAGCATGTATATATATTCAGTTGAACCATAAGGTCCCAAAGCCTCCCACCATGGACCTTCTATATGATTCTCATGCATTGATCTGGACTTTCTGTTTGCACTTGTGGATTTTGGAATAATAATCTTAGTGCCCATCCATTTGGAAGTGGACAAAAATGGGTGGCTGGTATACATCTCATCAGATAGATGCTGGTTTACTTCAAAGGTAGACCAAGTATGATCTAAGCATGAACAATAGTGGGAGAGGGGGTTCTCATTGTAAACAAACTCAAGTCCAGATGAACTATTGTTTCCTCTAGTTGAAACTAACTTTGTATGGACATGCAGAAGTACATTTCTTTTGTTTGAACTTTGAAATTACGGACATGCATTATTCTTTCAGGCCTCATGGTGATCCACAGATGATCCGTTTTGGTGCACACTTAGTACTTGTTCTTAGATATCTACTTGCTGATCAAATGAAGGACACTTTTAGAGAGAAGCTTATGACTGTTGGTGATCTAATTCTCCACATGTGAGCAGTACTCCTTTTCTTTTTGATGGATAAGCAATAAGATGTTTTTATTTTTTAATGACTCTACACATTTGTAATTTGTCTGAAATATGGCTACTTACCTTTCTTTTCGTTTAAAAGTTGGTGGCAAATCCCGAATATATATTTTTTATATGGGTAAAGGTGATTATGCTGTATTCATTAGGGGAAGGAATCTATATGCATATATTGTTAATTAGATCTATATATTGACGTTATTTTGATTTGATGTTAATCAGAAAACATAGTCTTGGAACCCCAAACCTACAAAATCCATTAAGATGTAGGAGTGTACGACCTCCATTCTTCTAAGTACCTTAATTTTTATTAATTGAATGAGAAGCAAAGGATACACCTAACTGGGGCATCCATACTTTACTCTTTGCCCTCTAGAAGAAAGCCATTACCTGATAGTGGTTCAGGCTATCAAGGGTCTTGGGAGGGGTGGGCTGGATTCAAACCTAACTTCCAGCATTTTAACACAAAATGGCTTCTCTAAAACTTTGACCCAAGTTCCCACACTTGTCGGTCTAGGATTTTACAAGCATCCTGGCACTGGCAGTGCCCTTCTCCCTCTACACAATTGTAATCAATTGCCCACCCTCCCAAATACAAAACAGAGACTTGAGGTGACATAGACCTTACTCAAGTTCTAAAAATTCATTATACATATTGTAAGAGACTATCCAATAAGGCATTAGCATTAAATAATATATTTAAGGTATATTTGCTCCACCTCTCTTGTCTCAACAAATTGAGATTGAAAAAGGTTAGGGACTCTGTGGTTGCAAATGGAGTTGGGTTTCTTAGAGGAAGGAGATGTTCAAGTGAAGATAATGAAGGCAGGTCTTAGGTTGTGTGTTGGTTCTAAAGGAGTGAGGGAGAGAGTAGAGCTGAGAAGGGTGTTGGTGTGGGAGATGATAAATGGAACAATGATGGTAGAAGAAGTTCAGAGGTGGTTGACTAACTTAGGGGGAGGAGATGCAAGAGGAGAAGTGAGAAGGATAGCGTGGGGAAGGTTCCCACTGTTCGTGGAATTGGAGACAAAGGTGTTAAGGCTGGTGACGTCAAGTCCTGTGAGGTGTTTTGGGTGTAAAAGCATGCTTCACAAATGGAGCTCCGACTTTGAGAAGGGGAGATTCATCTATGGTTTTCAGAGGTGGAAGGTCTCGTTTTTCGGCCTTCCCTTGCATGCTTGGAGTTGGAACGCCTTGAAGGAGTTGGGCGACTTGCTGGGCGGCTTTGTAGACGTAGATATGAAGGACTTGAGATGGAAAGACCTGGAGGCGGTTCGGTTGATAGTTTGGGCTCGAACACCGGAGGAGTGAGTTACTGAAAGCAGTTTTGGAATCAACATTGCTGCTAACCCAGTCCTTCATGATAGAACAAAACATATTGAAGTGGACAAGCATTTTATTAGAGAAAAACTTGTGAGCGGAGAAGTGTGCACTCCTTATGTTAGTTCAGAGACTTGTAGACATCTTCACCAAGGGCCTTCAACACTTGCGGCATAATAATTTGTGTGACAAGTTGGGCATGATTGACATCCATGTCCCAACTTGAGGGGGAGTGTTGGAATGTTAACTTTATTTATTATGTTTGTATTCTGCTGAGTTAGGGTCCGTTTGGACAAATTAAAGCAGTTTTTTCTTTTGTTTTTTATGCTGTAACTTAAGTAGGGGCATAAGGGTCTTTTCCCTTCTAATTATGGTCGCCCTATATATATTAATAGGGTCTCTCTTCTCTCCTCTCTTCCTCTTCTCTTCTCCTACCTCTCTTCTCCTCTGTTCGGCTGTTAATAATAATAGCCTTTAGTGCAGTACAAAAAATTAAAGCAAGGTTGGTTTGGAATCCTCCCATTGAAGATTGGCTGAAACTAAACTTTGCTGGGAGCAGCCAAGGCAACCCAGGTCTGTCTGGCATAGGAGGGGCTGTTAGAGACAAGGAAGGAAATTTAAGAGCCATCTTTTCAGGACCAATGGGACATGGAGACTCTTTAAAGGCAGAACTATATGTAACCCTACAAGGCATTCAGATTGCAAAAGATTTAGGCATGGAGAAATTGATGATAGAAGGGGGCACCAAGGTGGTGGTGGGTTGGCTAAAGAACCCAGATTCAGTGATTTGATGTTACAGAAATGAAATGAAGAAGTTCAAATGGCTCACACAACAGATGATTTTAACTTACAATGGGTGGGAAGGGAGGCCAATGCATTGGCTGATTCTCTAGCTAAGCAAGGGGTAACTAGAGATCAGGTGTACTGGGCCCATTTGTAAATCTGTTATGTTATAATCTGTTAGATATTTTTGTTAAAGAGTGAGGCTGCACCTTGCGCCTTGCACTGGGATGCTTGTAACAGATGTTATCTTTTGACTCTAATGAAATTTACTTATCAAAAAAAAAAAAAAATCTCAGTCACCCAACTACCTGCTTGGAATCTCCCTCAACTATCAATCTGTCCACATTTAGCTGTTTTGCAAGCTGCACCCTCTGTTGAATTGCTTGGAACTCGGCAAAGATGGAGTCCCCTAAACCAACCGGGCCCTCCTTTTAAAGTATCTTGAGGCATTTGATTCATCACAATACTTATTTACTGATCCAAATGTCAAATTTATATCATTGTAATCTATTGGTATTACTCTCTCTTATAGATGTCCTTAAGATTGTATGTCCTGTATCTTGTGTATTTACCATCTCTTGTGGCTCCCAAAGACAGCCTTGAGATCGAGTGCTTCTTTCTTGTTACATTATGCACTCAAATCTGTGATATGTGTAAATTTTGCTCCTTCATGAACTGCTTATTATAGATAATAAAAAGGTTTAATGCCCAAAAAAAGTATATTGTAATCCACAAATGTCTAAACCAATAAATATTCATTAGAAAAATTGTCTAAAACCAATAAATGGTTATAGTCATGCAATCAATTATTTGTTTCTGGACCATCTCTCAATTGTAATCTATCCAGTGACAGGTCTAAACGTGCACCTATTAAAAGAGTACACAAGTTTCCTGTTTCTATGGAGTTGTATCACTATGTTTTATCATTAAAATGTTTCATTTGTGCAAACCTTGACTTATCTCCAGTTGGAAAATGTAATTTCAGGTATGCCATGTTTCTATTTTCCAAGCAACATGAGGAATTGGTTGGGATATATGCTTCTCAGCTTGCAAGCCACCGTTGCATTGATCTCTTTGTGCACATGATGGAACTAAGGATAAATGCCAGGTGTCCTTTCTGTATTTTCATCTCTTTATTTCCTTTCTATATCTAGATTGTCAAATTGTGAATGCAACATCTTTTTGGGAGAGCTATTTCAGTGGGGAAATTAGTGGTGCTTTATGAATTAGATAGATGTATATGGATATATGGAAGTGCCTGAAGTGTACACTGAGCCAGATGGGTTTGCTAGAAGATATCATGTTCTTGTATATTGCTATTGTAAAATGATGATCAAAAGTGCACCATTTCTCCCCTTGAACAGTGCCCTAAAATATATTTAGAAGACATTCTATGGAAAATGCCAACCTTAATAATGTATTTACTATATAAGTAGTAGCTGAAACATGATATCTCGATATATTAAAATGTGTCTAAATTTTGTGGTGGAATGGAAATTCCTACTTCTGGTTGCACATTTTGCAATTGTTGAGTAGGAGGGGATCTCATTGTAACATTGTAATAGTAAAAAAAATACTTTGTGGAGTGGATTACAGCTGCTAGAATTGCCTTGAGCGAGTGCAAGAACATTCCCTCCATCTTTTCTTTTTTTAGTACATGCCTGAATGGAGGTATGATTTAGCAAGTACAATTCTCATATTTGGGTTAGAATTTTTGGCTTGTTTGCTGTTAAAGGATGCTGTCTGGCCTTGGTGGTGGAATTCTTAAAGAGCTAGAGGGTGGAAGGCCTGAGTCAAGGGGAGAATTGCCTTGAGCGTTGTGCCTGTGGCTGTGTTTTGGGTGTTATAGTAGGAAAATTACACTTTGTTGGCTATTCACAACCTAGCTTATTTACCTATATGCTAGTGGTCTAGGACTTCGCTCAAAGTGGCCAATCATGCTCTGGTGGAAAAATGGTTTTGGTGCTTCAATGCAGAACTATAGCCTCTGAATGGTGGAAATGATCGGCAAATTTGGCATCGGATATCTTAACTGGAACCCTGTCTTCAATTAGGGTATCAAATACAAGAGTGGGAATGGAAATTGACTATTGTTTTGGGAATGGGGATGTAAATTGACCGCTGTTTGGGAAGAACATCTGATATGACAACAGACCTCCAACAGAGCTATTTCCTAACTTATATTGCATAGCTGAAGAAAGGAATCCTCTTTTGGTTGAGTGAGATGAATTTAATGGCAAGGAGTTTAGCCTGTTAGAAATGTATAGCAACTCATGTGGTTGGGAAGAACATCTGTAATGTATAGAAACTCATTATATTGCATGTTATACTTGTACATGCTTGCATGAAACTGTCAAACTACAACCAATGAAAAAAAATAATTTACTTTAAGAAAAAGTTTAGCCTGTTAGAAATTTACCCAATGAACGACCAGTCTAGTATGATGTTTCATTGCATTCTGTTAACTTATATATTTATCAGTAATAACTTGGGGCATTCACCAAGAATGAATTTTTATTACACTTTGCTTATGTTTCTTCTCACCTCTCACCTTGGTTTTGGTAAATTACATTTCTTATCTGAGCAATATGGTTGGGATAAGGCTTTATTGAGTTGTTGAGTACATTTCATTTCTTAATCGTACTTTTGGTGCTTATTAACAGTGTGCATGTCAAATATAAAATCTTTCTCTCTGCAATGGAGTACTTGCCAATCTCTCCGGGTGATGATACGAAAGGTAGCTTTGAAGAAATCATTGAAAGGTATGCATGTATATGCAGTACCATTGCATTTCGTACTTACGAAGTTGGAAGAGTCAGACTGATGATGTTCAATTGAACCTCAATAGGGTTCTCTCTAGGTCCCGAGAAAGCAGACTTGGTAAATGCAATGAGGCTTCGTCTGATGTTTTAGAGCAACAGCGGTTGCAGAGTCTTCAAAAAGCTATGGTTATTCAGTGGCTCTGTTTTACACCTCCTTCTACCATCAATGACGCTGAAGTTGTTAGTGCCAAACTTCTTTCAAAGGCATTAGTACATAGGTACTTATGGTCACACTTTTCATTATTTTTTTCCCTTTTTGCAGAGGATTTCTTTATAGTTGATCTGTTTTAACTTGTCACCTTGAAGTTGAAGGGTCTAGCTGTGTTACACTAATAAGATCAACATGAATAAACCTGTCCATCTATTATCTCTGAGTCTTTAAGGTCCCTACCCCGATTGCTAGAGGCTAGACATAAGACATGTAAATGAGAGATTTTCTATGGGAGTGGGGTCAATCCAAGATAGATCATTTAATGAACTTGGAAACAATCTATAAGAACAATGACAAAGGTCGTCTTTCTATAGGTAATTGGGGGTTAGGAATCTATTCTATTGGTCAAATGCTTGTGGAGATTTCCCTTGGATTCAAACAAATTACGGCACTCTATAATCTCAAGTATTCATGATACTCTGCCTAATGGTTGGGATGCCAATTTAAATGCAAGTAAACCAAATTCTGAGGCGAATTTTTGTTCTAAAGTAAATAAAGAAATTATTCAAGAGAGAAGAAAAAGATACAGAAGAGGTGATAAGAAATCACCCAACTGAAGTCCACCCCCTCCCAATAAGCCTTGAAATGCTTCAGAAGAAACCACCCAACCCTAAACAGAAAAAAAGACCAAAATAAGTTTACATCCTAATTCCTAACCTTATAAATCCTAATGCTTACCACCCTACTCAACATAAACCGCTCCCTACTGCTAAAGGTCCTCTGCCCCTCTAACCCTTCTAATTTTTTTTTTTTTAAAGTGGCAGAATACTTTTATTTTTCTCCATCTAACCCTTCTAAATTCTGAGGAGACCTTTGGTGGGGGATGTGCCTCTCATGGATCAATCATCATTTTCCTACTGTGCTTGTTTTTCAGATCATGGATGGGGTTTAGGATTTGGAGTTGAGAAGAGGCTTTAGAGAGCATTTTGTTTGATTTGAGAATCTGGATTGATTGTACTCTGGGTTTTTTTCTTGCACCTCTTTCTTTAAGAAACAAGCTTTGAATGCTTGCCTTCCTCTGCCGGTTTTTCCTACTAGGCAATTTTGAGTGGACTAATGCCACCTAAAACAAGCGTTTTCTTGGGAAGTGGTTTACGTGAAAATTAATATGTATGAGAATCTCCAAAAGAGAAGACCCCATTAGTATTTGCTTCTTCATAGGGCAGTCAATGGGTCGGGTCTACGGTCTACCCGATGGACCTGAACCGATTGAACCAATTATAATGGTTCTGGTTCCATTGTCCTGATTAATAATTGGGTCAGTTCCGGTTCTTGCCTGTCCCGATCTGATTTAGATTTGGAACCAATTATTTTGTTGAGGATTTTACATCTTTTTACTTGTTTTTTTATTATTTGTTTAGTTAATAGGTGGGGACCACAACATACTATTTGGAAGCTTTTACTTAAAAGTATAAGTACTAATGGAAGAGGGCATCTAGATTACATTGCCTCCTCTTCCTTTCTTCTACAGTTTTTTATTTCAGCAGATTTCTACTTGGTACCAGAGCCAGGTTAGGCTTCCTTGGGGCTGATTCATGCACTCCTAGTTTAGCTGATTGCATGAGGGAATAGAGGGCTGATCGATATTCTTTAGATTGCCTAGTTCTTGATTTTTTTTGGTGGTTTGCAGTCATCAAGAAGGTGATCTGTATTTTGGCATCAAAATCAGGAAAAATTGGAGTGCAGGGAAGAGTCCTAGTCAAGTTGGATTCTTCAATTTTGACTTGGTGTTAGGTGCTCATGCTTTTTTTTTAAATACTTACAGCTTTTTCTAGGGGGTGGTTCAGTTTCTGGCCTTTTTTGAGCCTCCAGAGAGATCGACTGTGCTCTCTCCTTCCATAGCACCCATTTGATCTTGGAGTGTTTGTACCTGATCCTTTTTTGTTTTTAATCTGATTGAATTGAAATGGAGGGTAGGAGTACTAAGTAGAAGTCAACTGGTGACCTGAGTCTGGGTGTAGGAGGTGCTAGTGATCCTTTTGGATCTTGGATTGTTACCACAATAAAATTGGATTTAGAATGGGCACAATTAGCTATTGGTGCTTGTGGGAAATTGTAGAGTTAAACATAAGCTAAATGGAGACAATTAAACGTCAAGACCTCTTGCTCAAGCTGACTTGGAGTCCATTGTAGTAGTAGCAGTGAGGACAGAATTGGAGAAGCATGAACAACTTATTATGAATAAGATGGATTCAGCTGATTCTAGAAAGGGACAATTAGGGTGATTGATGGAATTACTTTGTCCTTTGTTTTACATGTTCCTAAACTTCACACAAATCTCCTTTATGTGAGTAGTTTGACAAAAAACTTGAACTATCCAGTGACCTTTCTTCCTGATAACTGTGTTTTGTAGTTTTTGGAGTCAAAGAGGATGATTGGAAGTGGTCGTGAGGTGAATGGAGCCTACCTTCTAGATGCACTTCTGAGATATTAGAGTCACCATTGTTGTAGCAGTAGTAATGGGTCAAAGTCGATGAGTCAAATCTTGACATGGCATAATCGTTTGGGTCATCTTTCTTTCAGTTCTTTGCAATGTTTATTTCCAAACTTGTTTAAGTTTGTTCAGTTGTCCAGTTTGGAGTGTAAAATTTAAGCTTTTGATATTGTTCACATTGATGTATGGGGGCCTTGTCATATTTCTTCCATTAGTGGTTACTGTTATTTTCTTTTGTTCGTGGGTGATTACACTTGAAAATGTTTTATATGTTTGATTTTATTTTAAAATTTTCATTTGAATACGCTTTAGACGTTATGCTTATGTACTTTAATTTTAGACAATAGGTTTTTATAAAAACATTTATTTTAAAATTTTGGTTTATATTTTGTATTAATATTATGTTTACTATTCTTTTGATTTTTTTGAATTTTTTGGCTTTTTTTTCAATTCTTTGAACATTTTTTTTCATTTCTTTGTCATTTTTTGTGTTTTGTGCCTTGCTTCAAAAAGGCATGCGCCTCGCCCTGCGCCTCAAGCGCAAATTGCCCCTTGCGCTTTTAAAAAACTAGTCACATTTTTTTTCTCAAGTGGTTCTCCTTAGGGGGAGTGTTTTGGGAGGAGAGCTCATAGTCTGTTCCCTTTCCTATTCCTTCATCTATTCCACTAACTAGACCATCAGTTCCATTTGTTGTTCCACCATCAGCTCCTCTCATGTCACTACATGACCCATTCCACACAATGCTCCCACATGGGAACCCGCACCACTCTTCATCAGACCGTCTAAGATTCCAGGTTCGGTTGATATGGTTCTAGGTATTCCCTTGAGCCTACTATTGCTTCTGATCCCATTGATTTATTGGTTATTTTGTGCAGATTTGTTAGTGTTCATTATTTGTATAGTTAGGGAGTGGGGACCATAATACACTTGTTGGGACCCTTTAGAGTTGTATTTTTAAGTCTTTTATTGAGTTTGTTGTATTAGTCACCCTATGAGGGCATATTGATCTTTGTACATTTTCTTTTTTATCAATAACGATAAGCTTTATTAATGAATAAGATTTGTGAAACTTTAATTACAAAAAGGGGGAGGTAATCTATCTTAACTCCCCAACAACAAAAGATCAAGGAAAGAAGCTAAAAATTAGCCCAAAATAGAGATTCCTTAAGCGCCCCTTGCTTGGCTAACCCATCAGCCATTGAGTTAGCACTTCCCTTCACCCAACTGTAGTTCACCTCAATATCCCTATTCAGCCATTTAAATTTTTTCTTTTCATTGCTGTAGCTCCACAAACCACTGTTGTCTCCCTTCAGCCACCTAATCACCACCTCCAAGTCCCCTTCAAGACCAAGCATCTGATGTTTAATTCTCTTGCTCTTTGGATTCCTTCCAGAACTGCTAGAATCCCAGCCCTTAGAGAGTCACCCTCTCCATTTGGGCCTGGAAATATAGTAGTAATAATCCCAACCTCATTCCTGAACATGCCCCCAATCCCAAAAGGCCCTGGATTCCTTAAGCCACTACCATCAAAATTCAGTTATATGAATCCAGAGGGAGGGGGGCACCAAGAGGGCCTAAAAGTCCTCTTACATTGGGCAGAGGTAGCTATTTCTTTCCACTTTCTCAATAAGTCGGCCATGGAAAATTCTGAGAATAGCTCCATAGATTTCAACCAGTGAGCTACCCTTAAGTGTATTAGTTCTAGTAAGTTTTCCGTGGTTCTTTCCTTGTCTAAAAAGATTTGTGAATTTCTCTCTTCCCATACGGACCAGCACACTGCCACCCTAATGCTTCTCCACATGACCTTCCCTCTTTTTTTAGGCCATCTAAAGAACAAAGGAGAGAACAAACTTTGCACACTCATGGGGGGATTCCAAGTACATCCAAAAAGGGAGAAAGCCCTCTCCCAAACAGTTTTAGTAACCAGACAAGTAACCATAAGGTGGTAACCCGTTTCCCCATCAGCTTTGCAAAGATTACACCTATTGGGAAGTAAACAGAAATTGGGTCTCTTTCTCTGAAGCAAGTCATTTGTGTTAATTCTTTCCAGGAAAATTTCCCAACAAAAACTACCAACCCGAGGAGGAACGGGTTTGCTCCAAATCTGTTTGATAGGAAAGGACAATCCAAGAGAAACAGGAGGCTGAATTAAAGTCTCAAAAAACGAAGCACAAGAAAAGGAGCCAAAGGAGGAAGGGGTCCAAAATATGGTGTCTTCCTTACTAGGGTCCAAGAAAACATTTTCAAGGATGGCTAGCAGAGACGAAATACAACCCAAGTCTGTATAGGGGTGGCAATTTTCCCCGTCCCCGACGGGTACCCGGGCTCCCCAACCCGACGGGGTCGGGTATGGGGTGTACTTTGGCGGGTCAGGGTCGAGGTCTGGGATGGGGTGATCTATGAATCCCCGATTGGGTTTGGGGATGGGGATGGGGTGATCCCTGAATCCCCAATTGGGTTCGGGGATGGGGATGGGGAATGCAATCCCCTCCCCGACTTGGCCCCGATTGTTATATATAATTATATATATAATATAATATAATATTATTCATTTTTTAAAATATTAGAACTT